GTCTTGCCTTAAAAAGGCAAAAGCAACAGAGGTTTCAAATCTGACTTTCAATATTAGAACCTTGGACTTAAACACAAATGATTCTGCCTGAAGATTAACTTAAACTTCATAAGATGTGTTTAAGATTGGCTAGGATCCTGGAGGCCAAGACATGAGCCAAGATAAGATATTTAGCCCAAAAATTCTATGAATGCAGGAAAACTGTGAGAGAATGCTGGTTTATGCCTCTAATTCCCATATAGAGCCCAGTCATGTTTAATATTGCACAGGGTAGTCCCATATTACACACTTCTAAAATAGCCCAAGAATACCGCCCACAAATCGGAGGAGCCAAATCCAACACAGGACTCTGGTCAGACTATTTAACACTATAGGCAAACTGCATGGGTTCAGTAGGGGGCCTGTAATGTCCCTCAGGTGGGTCAGCACTAATCTCTCAAAAGACTTCATGGCCACAGATGTTAAAGTGAAAGGCCTGTAGTCATTTAGTTCTGTAATTATAGATTTCCTAGAAACCAAAAGCATTTTAGAAAGTTTGAAACAAGAAGGAACCTCAAATAGCGGTGGCATTGCCTGAGATTGTTTCGCATCTATGGATGCATATGACTGGTGGGTCTCCAATCTGCTTGTTAGAGTACTTTCCGGTCTGACAGGGCACTAAATCACTACTCCTGAGGACATCTGCCTTCGTCCTAGGTATGTAGGCTGTACAGGCACTGGCTCTAATGGGCAGGTGAATGTGAAAGACAACATGGTGCTTTTTCCATTGCTTTATTTAACTCTTGCATATGTTTTAGCTAAGGGACACCACTGGATGTTTGCTGGGGTTGTCAGTGTCTGGGGACAGTTTAAAATGGTGGTTTTAAGCTCATCTGCCATGAACAAGAGACCGTCATGTTGGGTTTTGGGCATTCTGCCCTTACTATTGTGTCATGTCCTGTTCCATGCACAAGAAGTTTCTCCGGGTAAAAGAACGGGTAGATTCTTCCTCCCCAAATGGACAGTGATCCCCAGCATGCTCTAGCTGCACTGCAGATAACTGATCCTCTTCACTAGGGTAGCAAGACAAGGGCTTAATGCTGTGACCTACAACACAGTGTCTTCACCTCCCTGAGCACCTGAGGTCAGGGGGTAAGGAAATGCCCACAGTATGTACCCTCGATTGCTAGAGGCAGGCCATGATTTTGTGCTCTTGGTGGTTTCCTTCTTGAAGTGAGTACCCCCCAACCCCCACCCCCCAACATGCATACAGATACACCTGTGCTTGGGAACCTGTGTGCAAATCTCTCAGAATACTAATAGGACCCCATCACCTGCAGATGACTGTCCAAGCCTGTGGACCTGTGGAACATGTGTATGAATCCATCAGAATACCAGTAGGATCCCCTCACCAGTACCTGTACAGAGTCATCTGTGGAACATGGGTATGAACCGAGGGGTTCACACACGTTTCACAGGTGCAGAGAATACCAATAGGACCCCCTCACCTGTACCTGTGCAGAGCCACCTGTGGAACATGTGTGTGAACTCCTCAGCAAACCAGTAGGACCCCCCTCCCCTGCACCTGTGCAGAGCCACCTGTGAAACATGTGTGTCAGCCCCTCGGAATACCAATAGGACCCCCTCACCTGTACCGAGCCATCTGTGGAACACGTGTGACTCCTCAAAATACCAATAAGACCCTCTCACCTGTATCTGTACAGAGCCACCTGTGGAACATGTGTGTGAACCCATCAGAATAACAATAGGACACCCTCACCTGTGCCTGTGCAGAGCCACCTGTGGAATATGTGTGTAAATCACTCAGAATACCAATAAGACCCCCCTCTCCTGCACCCCTGCAGATCCCCAGGTGAAACATGTGTGTGAACCCATAGAAATACCAATAGGACCCCCTCACCTGTACCTGTGCAGAGCCACCTGTGGAACACATATCTGACCCCTCAGAATACCAATAGGGCACCCTCACCTGTACCCGTGCAGAGCCACATGTGGAACATGTGTGTGAACCCCTCAAAATACTAATAGGACCCCCTTACCTGTACCTGTGCAGAGCTGTCTTTGGAACATATGTGTGAACCCCTCAAAATTCTAATAGGACCCCTCACCTGTACCTGTGCAGAGCCTTCTGTGGAACACATATGTGACCCCTCACAATAACAATAGAACCCCCTCACCTGTACCTGTGCAGAGCCACCTGTGGAACATGTGTGAGAATCCATCTGAATAACAATAGGACACCGTCACCTGTACCTGAGCAGAGCCACCTATGGAACATGTGTGCAAACCCCTCAGAATATCAATAGGACCCCCTCACCTGTATCTGTGCAGAGCCACCTGTGGACCACATGTGAACCCTTCAAAATACCAATAGGGTTCCCCTCACCTGTACCTGTGCAGAGCCACCTGTGAAACATGTGTGTGAACCCATCAGAATACCAATAGGACCTCCTCACCTGTACCTGAGCAGAGCAACCTGTGGACACATGTTTGAACCCTTCAGGATACCAAAAGGCCCCCTCTCACCTGTATCTGTGCAGAGCCACCTGTGAAACAAGTGTGGAAACCTCTCAAAATACCAGTAGGATCCCCTCACCTGTATCTGTGCAGAGCCACCTGTGGAACATGTGTGAGAACCCCAAAATCCCAATAGGACCCCCTAACCTGTGCATAGCCATTTGTGGAACATGTGTAAACCCCTCAGAATATCAATAGGAGCCCCCCTAACCTGTACTTGTGAAGGACCACCTGTGGAACCCCTTAAGAACATTCTTAGAACCTGTCTCCAGAGTCTCAGATGAGCTGTGCAGGGTCTCAGGAGGCTGTGCGGGTTCTCAGGGAGCTGTGCATTGTCTCAGGTGGGCTGTGCAGAATCTCAGGTGGCTATGCAACGTCTCAGATGGGCTTTGCGGAGTCTTAGGAAGCTGTGCAGGGTCTTAGGTGGGCTGTGTGGGGTCTGGGGAAGCTGTGCCGGTTATCGAGTGGGCAGTGTGGTCCCTCAGGAGGCTGTGCAGGGTCTCAGGTGGGCTGTGCAGGCTCTCGGGTGTGCTGTTTAGGGTCTGAGGAGACTGTGCAGGGTCTCAGATGGGTTGTGTGGGCTCTCAGCAGGCTTTGCGGGGTCTCAGGTGGGTTGTGCAGGCTCTCAGGTGGGCTGTACGAGGTCTCAGTTCTCAGGAGGATGTGCAAACTCACAGGTGGACTGTGTGGCATCACAAGTGGACTGTGCGGGGTCTCAGGAGGCTGTTAGGGCTCTCAGGTGGGCTGTGCAGGGTTTCAGGTCGGCTGTGCAGAGTCTTAGGAAGCTGTGTGGGCTCTCAATTGGCCTGTGTGGGGTCTGAGGAGGCTGTGCATGTTCTTAGATGGGCTGTATGGGCTCTCAGGAGGCTTTGCAGGATCTCAAGTGGGCTGTGCGGCTCTCAAGAGGCTGTGCAGGGTCTCCGGTGGGCTGTGCGGCAACTCAGGTGGACTGTACGAGATCTTAGTTCTCAGGAGGCTGTGCCGCTTCTCAGGTGAGCTGTGCAGAGTCTTAGGAAGCTATGTGGGCTCTCAGGTGGGTTGTGGGGGGTCTGAGGAGCCTGTACAGGGTTTCAGTTGGGCTGTACAGGCTCTTAGGTGGACTGTGCAGGCTCTCAGGAGGACTGTGCAGGCTCTTAGGTGAGCGGTGCGGCATCTCAGGTGGGCTGTATGAGGTCTCAGGAGGCAATGCTGGGTCTCAGGTGGACTGTGTAGCATTTCAGGTGGGCTGTGTGGGGTCTGAGGAGGCTTTGCAGGGTCTCAGGTGGCCTGTACAGGCTCTCAGGTGGACTGTGCAGGCTCTCAGGTGGACTGTGCAGGCTCTCAGGTGTGCTGTGTCTCAGGTGGGCTCTATGAGGTCTTAGTTCTCTGGAGGCTGTGCCGGTTCTCAGGTAGGCTGTGCGGGGTCTCAGTTCTCAGGTGGGCTGTGCGGGCTCTCAGGTGGGCTGTGCAAGGTCTCACCAGGGCTGTGTGGGGTCGCAGGAGGTAGTGCAGGGTCTCACCAGGGCTCTGCGGGGTCTCAATAGGAGTCCGGATTGTCTTGTCGGCGGGTGCAGGCGGAATGGTTCCACAGTAAGGAGGAGATGTGTGCCCGGTTCTGTTGGTCCCCAGCAAGTGCGGAACCTTACGGCAGCCGCTTGTGTTCAAAAATTTAAAGCGCCGGTATCTGCGCTGATACGGTAATGGCAGGTGATGCTCTGCCCCACTGGTTTGGGGAGCCTGCGGTTGTGCCGCCCCCCTCAAAACTGACGCATAGTTTGCCTTGCAGTAGATACGCCTCTGGGTGAAACCCTCAGAATACCTATAGGTAGGGCAGCCATCAGGGGGGTACGGCCGATACTCATGTAAGGGGCCCGGGCAGCCTGGGGGGGCCCGTCCGGGTCCCTTACATGACTATCGGCCGACGGTGAAGGGCGAGGAGGCGGAGGCCTGGCCCTAACAGCGCAGGGCCCCAACATTGCCGCTCCAACGACTTTGAGACAAGCTGGGGCCCCATCAGCGATGCTGCTCGTCTGATGTCGGACTGGCCGGAAGTGACGTCACCTTAGTGATCTGACCAGCCCACCTGAGACCCCTTCAGAGCCCACCATAGACAGTGTCAGATGGGATGTGCAGCATCTATGGTGGGCTCTGCAGGGTCACTCTCAGGTAGGTAAGCCCGTGTCCAGGGGGAGGGGCGGCCTAATGCCGTGTAAGGGGCCCTGAAATTTCTGACAGCTGCCCTGCCTATAGGAACCCCTCACCTGCACCTGTGTAGAGCCACCTATCCTATCCCATCCTGTGAAACATGTGTGCGAACCCCTCAGCGGCATACACTGTAAGTACACAGAATATAATTAGCAGAGACCTCCCGCAACACACAATACATGCCCTCGGCAAATTCCGGAAGGGCTCGGAGTGCGATTGTCACCACCCTCGGGCTTGCAGAAGCTCGTCCACTTTCGGAAGAACTCGAGAACTTTCGGCTCCTTCCGGGAACACGAAGTGAGCGAGAGCGAGAGGTGAGTGAGCGACTCGTCTCCGCACCTTGTCCCGTGAGCCCGGTGACTGACAGCTGGCTGTCTGCGGCGCAGGTAATGGGCAGCGCTCCTATGTGTGGGCACAGGGGCCGGGAGAGGTGGCAGGTTGTGCTGAGACTGGCATCTGAAAGTTAGCTTTGAAGCCGGTCGGGCTAGTGACTAGTAAGCTGTGTGGCTGTAGATAAAGGTGGAGCGGCTGATCGTTTTACTGTGTGCTTTCACTACTTTAGTTCAGCCGGAGCTGCTCTTGCTGAGTTCCGAAATAAGTTGAACTTGTTAATATTCCATGCTGCAGGAGCCTGATGCCATAAAGTAATCAGCTCGGAGAAGATCAGCAGCAGTCCCCATTGGGAGGCAGTTATCTGATGTGTGACAGGCTTGTGTTGCTGCCCTTTAGCACACGCTATAACAAGGGCTAGTGTTTCCCTGTTCCTTATGTTCCTGGCATATCCAGCCTGCTTATGGCATTTGGGCATTCGAAAACGTGAGCAGGCACCTGTACAGCATGCCTTGCCATGTATAACACTGACATCCTTTTAGAACCATTTTAATTTTTTGGGATCCTGATTGCATATACTTATTTTTGTTAAAGTCAATGAAACCCTCATTTTAATATTTGAATAGCATTTACACCAGCTTACCTGGGCACTTACCTTGTGTGTGCCTGGCATATCCATCCTGCTAAGGCAACTGGGCATTAGAAAAGGAAAACGTGAGCAGGCACCTGTAAAGCAAGTCTTGGCATGTACAATACCGACATCCTTTTTTTTTAATCATTTGTTTTTGAGAGGCTGATTGCATAAACTTGTTTGCTAAAGTCTTATTAAACCCTATTATTTGAGTAGCATTCATAAAAGTTTACCTGGGCACTTAACTTGTCTGCTTTTTTTATTATCCTGGATCTAAAGATCCCTGCTGCAGGTTTCCTCTTCTAGGGTGGCTCTGTTGCTTTGTGGGATCCTATGGAGTCACCCTTACCTGTGCACACCTGGGGAGAGACCACAATCCACCTGCCTGCACTAAAGCCCACAGAGAGCAGCAAAAGAGGACCATGACAGGGCACACATGCGTTGTGAAGCTTAAACTTATGGAACATGTAGTCCCAATGAGGGGGATCAGGGGACATTCTAAGCTGTAATTATTGCACGCTCCCTTACCGGAAGTTCGGGAGAGCAAGCTTGAGGCTACATGGGAAGCAAATCAGATTGTAAATCTGTTTTTATTTAAATAAAAAAAACATTGTCCTCTGCTCCACTTGCCAAAATACAACCAATCCATAGAAATCATGTAAAGCTTCAGTACTACATAGGTGTTTTGAAAGCATGCAAATAGAGTGCCACTTTTGGGGAAGTAGAGTAGGCAGGTCAAGTCGTGTGACCACAAGGATGAAATTGGCTGCAAGAGGGATGCACTTTGAATTATTGGCAAAGCTTTTCTTCTTTATTGCACCCATAGAAAAATCAGCCTTTGTTGTAGTGCTCTGCTAATTTTTGGCTGCTAAATCGAGTATTGTAGAACATCAAAACATCTTGGAGGAAAAGGGCTGATCACACTTGTTTCCTCCCTGTGATTTTGATTTATTTAATCTTTGTTAATAAAGAGTCAAGTAATAAGTGGCGATACAGCGCATGTCTGTCTGAAGGCAGGACATGCCTGTCTGATCCTGGCAGTGTCTGTGTGAGTGGATGTGTGCACAGACTGATTAAAGAGCCGTGTCAGTATGTCTGCAGAGAGCTGGAGAGATGGCTCTCAAATAAGGAGATTAAAGCCCTATGAAAAGCCAAGTTAGTGTCAGACTCCCTGGCACCAACAGCTTCTTTCTGCATGTCCAGGTGCAGTGCACTATATTAACTTGTCATTGTAGGCATCTTATCCTGCTACGTCCAGGGTAATTGCTCTGATATTGATGACACGCTTGCGCTGCTGTTCACCCCCATTGCTATTTGCTCTCTTATAAAATCTATTAATTATCTTTAGGTTCTCCAATCGCCTGTCCATCTGTACTGGTGAATCAAACATTTCATGTCCTGAACATCTGGGGAAGATCTTGTTAGAGAGAAACCACGGGAGAACATGGCAAGCGGTGGCTTCAGGTCACACAACCCGCCTTCGTCTAACACCACCGATTTTCTAGAAGAATGGAAAGCCAAGCGGGAGAAAATGAGGGCAAAGATGCACGCAGCCGAGATGGCCGCAGCAGGGATTGCTGGTGCAACTGACAACGCCAATAAAACTAGCACTGAAATGAACAATAACAGTAGTAGTAACAATGTACCCAACAGCAATAGCCAAGCATCTGCATCGGTAATTAAAGTCCCAGCTATCAGTAGGACTGTGGAGGAACAGCAAGTTACCTCAGTGACTGCTCAGCAGAAGAAAACCTCAGTGCCCTTACAAGATGGTGTCCCAGGAGGAACAACACAGGAGGAACCGGCACCTCCAGTGTCCCAGGAGAGTTCAAGTAAAGCAAAAGACAAAGGGAAAAGTTGCGGCCCAAGTGCAAGAAAGGGTAAAGGGCAGATCGAGAAAAGAAAGATGCGGGAAAAGAGAAGATCCACAGGAGTTGTCAATATGGCTTCTGCAGAGGTAAGTGATTAGAAATTGTGTTATTATATTACATTTCTTTGTGAACACTATGACTTGCCCTCTTTCTTCCTGTGATACAAAACCTAACATCCATGGTCATATTTTACAAGCCAGCAGGCTTATAGGACATGGTGAGACCTTGGTCGGATGGGAAGAGTTCCAACTAACAAATTTTCTTCTAAAGAAGGTCAAGTAAGACCATCTTTTGTGGTCTAGGTATTCATATAAACATAGTTTTTATTGTTTAAATCTTAGACATTAAATGTAAATTATCTAATGCCCACAGAAACATTAAATATACGGTCATGAATGGTATAACAAGAGTTTAAGTAGTTATTCCTAAACTGTAAGTCCAGCCACTTTTACAGGGTTAGTCACAAAAGGGTGAAGAGTTTGGAGAAGGCAGGAGAAGTGAACAATCTAGGACAACAGAGCTGAACTGGAAAGTGAGCTGAATTGGAGAATGTTTCCAAAAGCTATTTTGGCCTAGATTTTTCACTTCTCCTGCCTTCTCCAAACTCTTCACCCTTTAGTAACTAACCCTGTTAGGTTCTTGGTTTATTAGGGATTGAGGAAAAATCTACAACAGGGTACAAATCTTTCTCCATTCTATTCAAAACGTTTTGGCTGGACATACACTTCAGTTATTATAACAGCATGTTTACTGATAATAGTTTCCCTATATTTTGATTCACTTATTTTAAGTCTAAGACAGCTTGAGAGGTCACTTTAAGTGCTGACCTGCCAACTGCCTGCCCCAACACATTGTCACCTTTTTGAAGGTGCATAGTGGCATCAAATAACATAACCCCATAGTTTCAATTGCAAACTGCAAAGCCCTGTTGTTTGATGTTGTTAGGCACACACAGAATTGGGAGACAGCGTATAAGATCAAGTGCTGCTGTGACATCAACGACTAGACTTCTGGTGAACCAACTACTGAATTGCTAACTCAAGTGTCAGACTCCCATTAACCTCATGACCTCATAAGTTGTTCCAGAGTTTGCACAACCATATTTGAGTGACTGCACAATAAAAGGCTTCCTGTCAAGAAGACAGGGAACACTCTCCTCTCCTGCTGCCTGGCTTCTAATCTCTGCAGTAGTGCAGAGAAGCAGCTGAACATCCTCAGAATCTGACACTCCAGGGAGTGATTATTTCCTGGTACCTCACTGGACTGTATGGTTCCTCCCGCTGGCACCTACTTCCTTATAGGACACAGTAGCGCCGCATACTGTAGGATGCTCAGCTGGCAGTTTCTCTGCACTACTGCACAGGCAGCAGGGAAAATGAGTATTAAAAGGAGTTGTAAAGTCACAGAATATACTATCATGTTATAACATCTGCATTGTAATAGGAATACATACTAGAGTTTTGTTTCCACAATGTGATCAAAGCTTATTTGAAAAACATCCATTTTTATGTAGCGAGTGCTGTCTTCTTCGAATCCATCACTTCCATCACTTTCAACAACTTCCTGGATTCCCAGTGTGCTTTGCATAACTTTCTCTGCTGCTTGATGTGATGCAATCTTGATTTCTCAAGATTGCATAGCCCATCATGCATTGCTTTCAGCAAGCAATGATGTTGCTACATTGTGGGAAATTCAGATGTTGAGTTGTAGTCTGGATGGCAGGCTTAGTTAGTGACACAAGGAAGTGCATATTCACAGGGCTCAGTGAAATTGTGGCAGTGTATTGAGGAATTCCATCCTATGGGCATCTTCAATAAATTGGTTTATAAACTACTAGATCAATATGGGATAGAACTTCTGGAGATTCAATATAGAAATAGATCTTTATTTTTAGTGTTTGATCATAGATGCACAGTTTCATTTTACTAGTCACTGTCAAAAAAGACAATCTCAGGAACTTACAGTTTTTTACTTTTAGTTTTCACATTTGATTCCATACTTATGCCACTGCATTCTTTCTTGTTGCTCTCATCTTTTCTTACCACCTCCGGCACTTCCTAGAGTGTCCAAGGGTGTATCAGTCAGTGGAAGGAGAAGCAGCACAGTGATACGCACATCTCTGTCACTCTGCTTTCTCTTTCTCTCAGCATGCTTCTTGTTAGCGCATAAACTGATTGACTCCTTGTACTGCTTCTTCCCCTTATACTCCAGCCCCGCTGCACAGGGACTGAGGAAGGCTGTTGCCAGGTCAAATTCAGGAATTTGCACTGTTTGCAATTTTAAAATAAAGCAGAACTTTGGGCAAATGGCAAATTAACCCTTGCTGTGAGGCTACCCCCTCACTGCAAGGGTTAAGTGCTCATTTTGGTGTAAAATGAAAAAAACAAAATATACTCACCCGAGCCTTGGACCCGCCTGGCTGCTAGACTGGTCCCTGCAACTTCTCTCCCCCTCTGCTCAGACGGTATAATGACCCTTGATGCCATCATGTCTAATACTGTGTATTAGGTGTGAGGACGCAGAGTGACATACCACATTCCGATGGTAAATACAAATCTTTTATGTTCAATGGTAAACTAACATACGTTAATATTACATAGGAGTTTATTCTGTGATGTTTTACTATTCACATCCAAGGAACTGTAGAGCTGCCGCTATATATTCCACCACACCACTGAATAGAGAAGGTCCAAAGAGTGCAAAACTACTTAACCTAATGTACCAAATTAAGAGTTTCACCCACTGGCTTTATTACATTGTAACTATATTTTCTGGCTATAGGCTTGTAGTGCTTTCTGAGTAAAGGGAATTTTACGGTTTATTATTATGTGTCCTAAAAGTCAATCACAAGTCATTTTTGAGAGCTTCACTGACGTCAATGTGCAAGTACACAGCCTATTATATATAAATTATATTTCTTCTTGTTTGCCATGACTGTAGAAGTTATTTAGCCACTAACAACTGTGTAAAATTTACAACGCAGTAAAGACGTGTAACAGTATGTCAGTCATTTGCAAAAATTTCAATAATAAGCACGGTTCAAATTCTAAAAGTCAAAATGTATGTACAGTGTGGTGCCTAAAACATCAGTTTGAAATGTAGGACTATTCAGGCATTTGGGAGTGAGAAAAGTCAATGTGACCTGTAAGTCTACATGTGTTCTCGGTCATGTGACCGATGTTGGCTTGTATATGGAAGGTTAGCTTTAGTTGATGTAATTTGCAAATAAACACTAGAAGTGGTATTAGTTCATTTTCATGTGGGTGCTTTTCAAAATGATCTGAATCTAAATTAAAAACTTTGGTCTACATAAAAAAACAAAACATCTTTATAGCTTGTTATGGGTTAGATCGATTAACATAATCTAATAACATTCTTTCTCTGAAGGGAAGAAGACGAAAGGGTCAGGCCACCCATAACTGTTTTTCATATTTTGGTAGATTTTGGAGAGCAAAATGACCTTACAGCTTCTTATATCCTGTAAGAATTCTGTTGATGAATATATCAGCCCTTAAAGAGGAACTAAACTTTGGAAGATGTGCTCAAAATGGCAGACAGAAGGCAAAGGGCTAGTCATCAGTATTACCTATAGTCTTCCTGCAGCTGATCTTTTCCAGTTACTGACTTACAATGCCTTGTTCTGCACTGTTTGTGAGGAGGTGGCCATCTTTCTCATGCAAGAGCCTCCAGCAAGAGGGACAGTGAGCAGCACAGCAATGACATCGCCACATCTCCTAATACTAACAGGGCTATTCATTAGAAAGGTGAAGAGTTTGGAGAAGGCAGGAGAAGTGAACAATCTAGGTCAAAATAGCTGATTTAGAAAAAATTTCCGGTTCAGCTGTGTTGTCCTAGATTGTTCACTTCTCCTGCCTTCTCCAAACTCTTCACCCTTTTGTGAATAACCCTGTAAGAGTACATTTTCAAGATTTCACACGGTAGATATACAGTTAGGAGGTTGTAGACACAGGAATGCCTAGGCACTATCACTGCAGTGCTTTTTTTCAGGAGGATTTAAAGACAAAAGGTATATTTTTAGGGCACTACGTAGGCACCGTAAACATTTCTAAATGTTCCCTACAACATAACAAATCTCACAATACATTTTTTTAGTTCAGGTCCACTCAAAGGTTATGTCACATTAGTGGCACTCTTGCTGTTGGCAACTTGTATGACATGGTGTAGGTTCCCAGGCCCGCTCACCTGCTGTGGTCATAATATGAGTTTCCCTCTTTATCTGTTGGATGTATTACTGGTATATAATGGAGACTGCAGTTGGAGATGCTGTAACACTCAAAGGTAGTAAAAAACAAAAACAAATTCCAGGTGGACAAGAACAGTCGGGAAGTATGGTAGAGAGACCTCACCGTATGAATATCCAAGACATATAAAATCAGTCTACTAGCCATCAAATAAGTGGATTGGCCATTAGGAAAGGAAACCAGACCAGAATAATTTGTGCCTGTTTGTTTCAAGATTTAAATGGAGTCAGTAGGATCCATCTGCCTGCCCCCACAGATAAGTACCTGGAACCGTTTTGCAAAGTCTTTTGGACTTTTGTGGTATATATTGGTGTATATTGACATTACTATAAGTCAGAAGGCACTGGGTGTGATACTCTGAGCAGTGGAATGCCATGTGTCATGTTGAAGTCACTGTGGAAAAAAGAAGTATCTGTGATTTTTACAGAGTAAAGACCAGAAGTGATCTGACCATACATCTTAGTGCAGTAGTAGTGTGCTCCAGAAACTTTTAGAATTGCACCTTTGACGCTAATAGAAGGAAATGGACAGTAATTTTCCAGATATCACTAGACGTATAGCTTTTGGAGTCTTCTTTACATCTGGAGATTATTGAGGAGAACATAGAGAGTGGAAATGGGACTCATATATGGGTGGCTTTTCTTGCTACCGATATGTCTGTGCAATTTGTAGGATTTTGGCATGCACTTTTTACATTTTGATCTGATTCTTATGGAGCAATGTCCACTTGGATTTATTGCGGTGTTTAATTTGGAGCTTTTTTCCCCCTCACGTACAAGTCAATGTAAGTGCAAACATAAGTATCTCAAAGCGAAGACTGAGTA